TACGAGGTTACGCTTTTCAAACTACATGAAAGCAAGATATTTAAAAGTAAGCTGGAATGTAATTCCTCTCAGTCACCTTTCTGTATGAAACAGGAACTTTAAAAATAAAGACCTGACACAGAAACTGGGTATTAGGGAGAACTCGTGCCCACCTCATTGCACAATTTCAAGTAAAGGTACACACACTGTAGACACACAGCACAGGAAAGGCATTAGCCAGAATACCAATTCTGAACATGCTTCTTCAAGAAATACACAATCTTAAAGACACTAGCACAAAATAGTGCAAAACTGAGATGTGCAAAACAGATTAACTATTGAGGGCAAGAAAAATTAATTGCTTTTGCTCAGTCTTAAGAGAAAAAGCTAAAGAGTGTCTTCAAGCAACAAAGAAATTGCAGTCAGAACGCAGGTCCTTGGTACAAGAAGCAAGAGAGCAACAAGTCCATACTGCATCAAGAAATAGTCAAACTGAACATGAGGAAAATCCTCTTAAAGGAAAGGATTTGAAATACTGGAATATATTGGCTACACTGCTGAATCTCTGAAATCAGAAGCAGAGGGATAACCAACCATATTTGTGAACTATTAAGCAGCAGTTCCCAACCAAAGTACGGGAGCGCTAAGGTGAGGTGCAACAGCAAAGCTGCACAGCAAGCCCAGTAAAGGAGAATGAAGGTAAACAACCACTGCAAATTCCATTATAAAAAACAAATCACTGGACCAGATAACCTCTTAACAAGAAATTTATCTACCTTACTATGAAAGCATAGATACAGTTCTACATATTAGGAACAGAAAACCTCATTTACTGGTATAAAACTGAAGGGGACAAACGAGGATTTTTAATTAGCTTTCTTACTTTTGGTCCAATTACCTCAAGTATTTAATTTTCTGTTCCTTGTAAAAAATAGTAAACAAGTGGTTGTAACAAACCCACTTCTAAAAATCTTCTGAGATTAATTTATTGTAGACCAACTGGAAAAATAAAACCCTTTGCTAAAACTGAGTCCAGTACATCATCCATTTCCAAATGAACTATGCTTAGGCCCTAAAAATGCCCATTTGATAAACTGAACATAACTAAAATAGCACTGTAGTCTAACGAAGCTCAAATGTAACAAAACCCTATTTTTACCCTACCTAAAATTACTTACCCTGCTGAATCCAAGTTTCCATGGCTCATTCTTTAATATCTCCTCCAATTTTGTTAGCATCTTGTCTTGAAAATCCACCTTCTCACCATTTGCATCATTGCTTTCTTCAGTCTCTCTTTGCCAATCCACCATATCCAACAGACAGCAAAAATGGCATGGCAGAAGAACTGGCAAGAACTCCAGTATCCTCGGAAAAGCCAGAGCTACCAATACTGCCTTCCCTGCAACTACATTCATCATAAACAAAGTATCATGCAATATACACACATATTTGTAAAGGCAATGTAAACCTACTATGGCTTTCATCCTTCTGCCTCCCCTAGATCCAAAACATCTCAAATTTCTTCCAGTTTCTTACTCATTGCAATTCTTTTTAAATTATTTTAAAGTTTGTTTTCCCTGAACTGCCTTGGGAAAAAAACAATGTAAACAGATGACATGCCTCTAAATGTACTCTCTTGGAAAATATGTATTATGCAGAAAGGTAAAGATAAAACCTTTTCCCTTTTAAGCAAGTACTTAATTTACACATAGAGAATCAATATACACTATTTCCACACAAAAAAAATACCACGAAGGCTTGAAGAACAAACTGCTCAAGCCCATAACAATTAATGGCAACCAAAAAAATTCACAATAGCAGAAGGAGCAAGGAGGGAGAGAGGGGGGCATACATAGCCTAATGATAGAGAAAGAAGAAAATTTGAAATGTAGTAAAGTAACTTAGATACTAGGAAAAATCCCCAGCTACAAGAACAGTGAACAGAGTGCAGTCTCTACACCTGATGATTCATGAACACACTGGACAAACCTCAATGAAAAGCAATCCATATATCCCATTAAAACTCTCACAGCAAACCAGATCTGTGTTTCTACCACTACTGATTCCCACCCCTTTGTGGTCATGAAGATTTGAAATCCATAAACTAGAGTTAAGAACTTTGCCACCATTACAAAAACAGAACAAAAAGCCTAAAAGTCTGTAGAACTCTGAAAATTTTCCTCTCCTTACACATGGGATTTGGAGTAAAGTCAGCTCAAGCCTAGCAGAGGCTCTCAACTCTCCTGTTATACATGATTTGACATCCAAAAGAGTTACCTCTGACACTGTCCAGTGAGCCAGGTACTGGAAGACTTCATTCACTTACATGCAACAGCAGATAGATCCAATCTGCCTGAGCAGGTTACAGACACACATCATTGGAGCAAAACAAGAGAGCTAATGCTGAAGGCACACCTCAGACATCTTGTCTTTCCCTCTATTTTAAAGTTTTGCTTCAGACCAGCTGTAGTCTGGTTTCACAGACTGAACGCATGTTAGGGATTGGAGTACCTTAGGCATGCAACTGGAACACATTGTTTGGGTTTCATCCAGTAGGAATATAGTCAGTACTCTCAGAGACTGCATCACAATGGGGACAAGAGGGATGTCTGCTTCAAAAGCACACTCCTGATCGAATCTCTAAAACTCATGTAGGCACACCAGTGCAGCCCACAACACGATCCTCAGCAGTCCTGAACTATCTCCATGTGGGGACACTCCTGTTTCCACATTCTGTTCATGGCCATACCAATCTGCTGACAGGCAGGATTCAAATACACTTAGACAGACTATTTAGTATTGATTTAGACTACACTGAACTCCTTCACTGTTCCCCTGTACTACAAAGAAGCAGGCATACTATTTCTGAACACGTATTTGTCCTAAAAAGCCATACCACCATGTGTAGGTAGCACTAAACCCATTTTTCAACACTTCCAGGGGTGGAGCATCCCTAGCACAGACAATTCTACTTAGTAAGCCTACAGAATTTAGGAAAGTCCTTCTGTATACCTATCTTTAATCGGTCAGCTGTCCCAGTGTGAGGAAATATTTTTAAAAAAAAAGAATCACTGCATGTTCAAAATTCAGTTGAATATACATTTGATATGAAGACATGTTAGCTTGAACACAGTATCTGAAACAACTCCTTAGCTTATAAAACAATCAAACTAGCACAGGATATACCTACTTGATTTTGAAACATAGTAGAAGATGTCATAATCCTTGGTATCTCTTTGGCTCCTCCCTGGAGGTACCTGTGAAACTTGGAACTGTTTTAGCTTTTCTTCAAGATTTTTAAAATTCAGCATAGACTCCGTAGGAAGCCAAGTAAAAAATTTTTCTTTAAAACACTCAGGAACACCACATTCCTCAAGAAAGAGTGAAAATACTTGTCGGTTGTTTTCTTCTATATCAGTCCGCAGAAAATATGATGGATATCCTCGCACGAAGTACTTAGACCCAATTTTTTTAGCTTTAACATTAACCTTCCACCAAGGGCCAACTAATGGAAAACGTCCAACTACTTCATACTCCTTCTTGGTGCCATCTTCCTGTATAACAACTGAATCATTAAAAAGAAAATAAGCCCATTGTCAATTGACAGTCATAAAGATTAAAAGTTTGGGTTGATTAAAAGAGTTTTGTTCTAAGCTCACTTTTGTCTTTTCTATAAGTTGCGGTAGTAAAAGTAAAGTTTCATAAACTCCTGATGTCAGTCTCTCCACTAGTATTTAAAAACAAAAGTGAAACCAACCTCAGAAACAAGCACTAAATTGCTTCTCTAAGCATCAGAAATAAATCTTGTGTATGAATTTATTAAGCCAATTAAACACATATGGTTTAATATTACGGTTTACTATTTATGCCAAGACAAGTTTACAATTCAATTTTAAACAGTTTTGTCACAAAATATTCCATCACAATCCCTGCATGTTCTTCGGATACAATTGCATAACAAATACTTTCTGGAACTGAAACCACCAAGATTATAAGCAATTAATATAATAAACCCTTAAGATTTCGTATGACATGGTTTGTCTCCTCTTTTCCTCAAAAAACAATAACACACCACTCCTCAATCCACGACTGGGGACTAACTGCTATGACTAGAACAAAGTGGGCACCTACATTTAGCACGACCTCTTCCTCACCACACCAGAGTGGCTCTTAGGTTTGTAACAACTTATTTATTTCTCCCTTCTTACCTAGTTCAATTCAGCCATTTTAAAAAGAATTTTGAGGATAAAGTATTCTTGTTAGGAAGAAGTTGCTCCAACTTCACCTGCTTTTCTAAGTCAGAAATCATTAACGTCAAGTATCAACACTCATATACCATTAAAAAAATTGCGGTTTTTTTGTGTGAAGTTACTTTAAATAGAAAAAAATTTATATTGTCTCACTGTTGCAGTACTGTGCCCGTAGAAAAGCAGAGATTACACTCCTCTTCTACTACACATGTAAGGTTTACCACCTACTTCGGTTCGCTGTCCCTTTACTTGTAATCGATTCAGCGATCGGGGGAAGGAGCGAGCTGCGATCTGCCCTACCCTGGAGGGACGGTGTGTTTGCCCAGGTGCGGAGCGGGGGCCGCCGGGCCGAACGCGCCTCCCCTCAGCCCCACCGCCATTCCCGCACAGCCGGCTCCAGCCCGCTCCTTTCCAACGCCGCGCCCCGCGCCGAGCCCAGACCCGCGGGCCGGGAGGGCACAGAAGGGCGCAGAGGGGCACCGAAACCCGCCCGCCCTCCCGCCCGGCCCCGCTCCGCTTCGCAGCCCCTCACCAGCGCGGCGCGGGGGCAGCGCAGCCGCCAGCTCCCGCCCGGCAGCCTCCATGAGCGCATCCTCCGCCAAGTGCAGCTCCTTCTCGAATTCCTCCTCGCTCTCCTCCTCCGAGTCTGCCGCCCACCGCGGCGGCAGCAGCCCCCCCCGCAGATCCACCACCTCTCCCCGCTCCCTGCGTGACTCCGCCATCGTTCCCGCGCCTTCCCGCCCCGGGATCCCTCCGCCCCTCCCCGGAAGGACACGTCGAGCGGGACGGCGTGCGAGTCCAGTAGTCAAAAGAGTCAGGAATGCCGGGAGGCAGTCGGGATGGTCAGTCAAGAGCATCGAGAGCACTTTTTTAATAACTCGAGACATAATTCTGTGTCTTTGTGTGTGCCCAGCTTCAAATAGGTCAGACTTGATTTTCAAAAACGTGGGTATTTGCTGCTCAAGTGGAGTGAAGTTGGTTTTCTAGAGCTAGGTGGTCAAGCACTGGGATTAGATGATCCTTTTGAAAATCTGGGACTAAATGTTTTGCTCTTCTTCACAGTGTAGCCAAGTTTAAGGTTCCTGTCTCCTCGATTTCTCTTTCCTCCCTCAATACTGCTACCAGTACAGTTGGAGAATAGAAGCTAAAGTAAGAGGGTTTTAAGTCAATGGTAAAACTGTTAATTCTAATTGCATCCATGAAAGCTGTAAGAGTAAAATATATATAAATATATAAGCAGCTTATAGATTTAGAAATTCACAACACATGTGCAAGAGAAGATTGTTAAGCATTAAAAATGAGGTGAACACAAGGCCAGGAGATTCAGCCAAAAATTACTCTGTCATGAATGTTTTAAATCATACTTTGAAAAATATTTGGAAATTTTAGATCAGCTTTTTGAACTACCTTTTTCTCCATCATGCCTCACTTCAAATTCCACTCCAGAACCCAAGAATGTATGGTAAAAGGCAACATGCTTTGACAACCCTATGATTTTACCTTCTAATACACCATGATAATGCACTGCCATGATAATTCTTAAGTATGAGTCTTAAAGTATAATCTCACATGACACTGAAGAAGTTATTACCTTCCTGTCCACGGGGAAAAAAATCTGTTTATAAATTTGAACTCCATATTGGTGCATTCAGTGAAAAAAAAATGCAAGGCCCTAAAAAGCAAAGTCACAATGAACAAGGAAAGATGATTTGCTGTTTCTCACTGCTTTGTGTCTTGACACACAGTGACAGGTTTTCATTTCAGAGAAAGTATGCACATAAAAATCTCACACCTTTAAATAGATACATGAAATCCTACTCTGAAAACAATTTCAGAACATTCTGACAGGTACCATTTATACACTGCAGGGTTATAATAAAGCCAGCCTCCAGATTTAAGTAAGACTTCCTATATTTTTTAGTTTTTTCCCATACCAGACATCCCCTTTCAAGGGATGGCTAGCAGTTCATCTTTGAATCTGACTAGCACCAGGGGCACTCCCTAGTCTCAAATTTGCTTGGGTATTCATTGTTCCCTGATCTCTGCTGTGATTTAAGACATTCTTATCTGCTGAATTCCAATAGTAAGTCTGAGTTTGCCATCCAGGAGCATCAACTGGAAGCCCTCAGAGGAAGAAATTAGGGGATGTATCTAGCACAGCACGAGGCAGGGATAGCAAAGGTATAAACTTTCATTGCTCTTGAGATAGAAAGGTTTAGTTTTTTCCCTATGCTGTAGAGCTTTTACCAGGAGAGGTGTGCAGTACACTTGGAACTGACTGCCCCAGGGGTGGAAACACAGCCCCACCGTTTTCCATGGACTGATCCAGACTGCACTGGAAAAGGGTGAGGCTCCAGAACACCTGCAATATATTGATGACATCATCATATGGGGGAACACAGCAGAAGAAGTCTTTAAGAAAGGGGAAAAGATAATCCAGATTCTCCTGAAAGCTGGTTTTGCCATTAAATGCAGTAAGGTCAAGGGACCTGCCCAGGAACAGTTCCTAGGAGTGAAGTACCAAGACAGACGTTGCCAGGTTCCAACAGAGATGATTACAAACAGAGTTGATTAACAAAATAGCAGCTATGTTTCCACTGACCAGTAAGAAGGAAACACAAGCTTTCCTAGGTGCCTAGGTTTTTGGAGGATGCATATCCCTGAGTATAGTCAAACTATGAGCCTCTCTATCTTGTGACATGGAAGAAAAACAACCTCAAGTGGGGCTCCGAATGACAGCAAGCCTTTAAGCAGATCAAACAAGATTGCCCACGTGAAGAGTTCCTGTCATATTGTAGAGACAAACTGAAAATGGAAAGCAGCTGTATGGAGACCCATGAGGCGAGTCACAGAAGCTACTGATGGACAAGATGGATCAAGTCAGGTTGCAGAGCTGAGAGTCATCCAGGTGGCTTTGGATATCGAAGAACGAGAAAAGTGACCGACACTCTAGGTCTACACTGTCTTGTGAATGGTAGCAAATGCACTGTGGGGGTCGCTAGAGAGATAGAGAAGGGCCAGCTGGCAGTACAGAGGAAAACCCATCTGGACTGCTGAGATGTGGCAAGACATTGCTGCCACTCTTTTGTTTCTTGTCTTTGTCCTAGGGGTTTTGAGGGTGGAGCTACAAAAAAATTTAAGCCATTTCCTTTGTATCTTTGTGATTGCTGATTTTTTTTTCCCTGTCAGTAAACTGTTCTTTTTCACTTATATCTCCTCACATTTTGCCTCTCTATACTGGTGGGGATAAAAGGGGAAGTGTTTAATTTATTGCAGTTCCCACCCTCATATTTGTCTTTAAACCAAGACAGAGATGTTATACTGAAATGCTGGACCTAAACAACAGTGAGCTATCCTTATTGCTAGTAATGATCTTTCTGAAACACAACATGAGGCCCAGAAGTTGTCAGCTACTACCAGCATGAGCTAATATTAACAGTATGGGGATTTTGGAGATCTAGGGATCCCATAAACAGGTGTCAACATATGGAGGCTTTCATATATACCCTCTATGTAGACCATATAGTCTTCTGTGTAGCACTCTACAATTGAATTCCTTTGTAAAAAAGTTCAGCAATTACTTTCTTGGTGCCTTGGCTGCTAATTCTTATTTCATATTGTGTAGTGTCTCATCATCCTGTCATTCTTTTGTCTGTAAGAAACATAAGACGGAAGTTGTTTCAGTGTTCCCTCAGGGCATGTGGTATTTAATGTAGAAGCCAGAATTGCCGTGTCAAATAGCAAATGCTCAACTATTACTGGGTATAATCAAACCTTATTGTATACATTTATGCTCTTCATGTGCCTAGGCTAGTAGCACTTTAGGAACCTAATGCAGTGTGTAGTGTAAGGGCACCTATCTTCTTTTTTATTAATGCAGCTATCCTAAATATCCTAAAGATATCTAAAATTTCTTAAAGATATCACTGTATGTCACAGTGACCTCAGTTTGTGCTGCATCAAAATGCTAAATACAGTGTGTTTGACAGACAATAGCGTTCTCTATTGATCAGACACAAGAGAGATGAACCTGATTCAAGAGCCTATGAATATTAATTAGGCCTGCTACTCCTATAAGCTGTTAATCAGGGTGTTATTTTTGGGGCAAGCGTGCTGAGATTAGGTACATTGCTGAGAACTTTCTTCTTTTTTATACGATCTTGAAAACTTGGTATTATAGGAATGTTAGGCTTACTTTTAAAAATCAGTGAATTTCCAGCTTCAGGGTTGTCAAGAAAATGGATACTGAAAGTGCTCTGACAAGCCCATACCTGTCTTTCTTACAGGCAGTGTTGTTTATGGCCATTTATTTGCTATTCAAAGGTGTGATAGTTTCATTTTTAAAAGCAAATTAAAAAATGCTTTCTTTGCTGTTGCAAAGCTAACTTCTCCTCCCAAAAATGGTAGCAGGAGGAGAGGTCTCCTTCTCCTTTCTTCCCAGCCCACAAAATATTTGCAGCATCTGGCATATATTTCTCCTTACAGAATGTTGACCTCATCTAGATGTGGGATCAGGGTCACTTTAACTTAATCACACCATTGCAGACCATTTAAAAAAATGGTTTTACAAGTAATAACCTTCTATGTCTGAGGGAGGAAAGAGCAAATCCAACACAAAAAACTTTCTGGATAGAATGGCTGCTGCTACAAAAAAACCCAAATAACTAATTCGATAATTAAATGTATTTGTACAAAGATTTCTGCTTTAATGTATTACATTCATTCACCAGGCTCCATGTCACACTTACAGGTTTGTATATCTCAGGAGAGAAATCCAGTACTGTTATATAATTCTTCAGGAACACATAAAACCTTCCTTAACAGTGTTTCGTAACGGATAATGCTTGGAAGTGCTTTTTCTAAAACAGTCTGTGTCTTAGTGGCTTATAGGGAAAAAAAAAGACTATGTTATCCCAATGTGTTCCATTAATGAAAAAGCTGAGGAAAACAGAAAAGAAACACACAAGCCCCAGAAAATCAAAGACCAGCCTTCCTAAGAAATTCCTGAAATCCCCTAGTGCTATTTGTAAATGAAAGTTTGGGTAACTTTAATGACCATGCGATAATATTTTGGTTTGCCTTTATTCTGCCCTCCCTCCCCCCCCCCAGATCCTGTCATAATTAATGGTTTGGAGGAGAAAGGAACTCCATAAGTCTGCATTTTTCCAAGAGAATCCAAGACTGGTTATTTATATTTATAACTTACAGAGCTATATTGTTCCGTAATGGTGTAATTTTTACATTCCTGGTGAGCCCCACAGCAAAGATCTAGTTACTAAACTCAAAATTAAATAGGGATCTCAGAAAAAGTAATTTGCCTGTCTTTTGAGACTGTCAAACAAAAGGATATTAGTAAATATGTTTTAAATACTGTTCTGTACTTGCTCATCTTTGCTTTTTGAGAATATTTGTCTGATAACAGGGAGAAACAAATTGGGGTGGGTATGTGTGTGTGTGTGTGTGTACATTTCCCTCAGGATTTGACTGAAGACTTTAGTACGTACTGTGCTTAATGGTATGCTTTTTTTAATTTTCCCGAGCAGAAGGTCACCCTACTGCCAGCAATATGATACTATGTGACTGTTAGGATGTGATTCTGGGCCCAATTTGCATCTATATTTGCAAACTAACCCAAGCCAGAAGAGGAGCTGAAGTGGAGGTGTGCTACCATCCACACTGTATGCAGCTGTGGGCACTGTGGCACATTTTGCCCTGTGTCAACAAATACCATCTCAGAAGATGCCCAGACCCTGAAAGCTTTTCTCCCCCTTCTTGCAGTTCAGCAGCAGGACCAAAGAACAGATCCTGTGTTCTTTTCTGGTTCAGAGGTAGCCACTAACTCTACCCAAGAGAAGTCATATACCTGCACACAGTTCTACTTTCTAGCTGTTTGCCACTGAAGGCCACTGCTCACATTAGCTATATAAAGCCTTGCTTGATACTCAGATCTGGAAAATATTTGTAGCCACTTCCCCCCTGTTTAATTTTTAACTGGAGCTTTTCTTGAACAAAAGCTAAATAAAAATGAGTAAGCACTTTCACAGTCTGAGGTTTGAGCCTGTTTCCAGAGGGTCCTTTGAGAGCCCTTCCAATTATTTGCCTTCAGCTGGGCTCCTGAGTTTAGCTATTAATCTTTCTTCATAAATAAATCACAGTTGTGCACTAACCCTTCTTTGTTACTGTTCTCTCGATTTTTTTATACTTTTCTGGTAACGAATTTAATGCAATTTTATTCATGTGGTCTTACAAGCCTAATGAGCAGATGGAAGTGCTCAGATTACAGTTAAAAACAGCCTAAGTGCAACTGTTCATCTTCTTTTGTAACAAAATCAATGAATACAAAGATTAATTTCTGACTAATTTTAATTCTTCTCTTTTTCCTCAAACAGCCATTCCCAATAGGTGTCCTGTTGGAAAAAAAAAAGCAGGGTTCCAAGGAGGATTTACAGAGAAGAGACGGAGAAGGAGCAGATGAGAGACACTAACAGAGTTGAGCGTTACAGGAAAGAACTTTACAACCCTCTCATTCATCCCAACTACTTCCAGGTTGGGATAGATTGTTTTTTGTGTAAGGCACTCTGAGCTTATGGATAATAGAAAAACCGAGAAGACTGGTGACGTCTTGTTTATTGATACTGTCAATTGGCAATGGGTATAGAGGTGTTTAAATTAAATGGGATTTAATGACACTATGCACTTTTCTCTAAGACGGCTTCCATGCTAAATAAACCACCTGGAGAATGGAAGTAGTTATGACAGGAGGGATATAGCAGCTTTGAACTTAATAAAAAGTTCAAATGCTCACATGACACTGTGCTGGGTCATGCATCTAGTATGGATCAGAAAATACTCAGGGAAAATGAATGCACGATGACAGCCAAATTGCCCAAACCATGTAGCTTTTTTAGCATAGCAGAGAGAGCAAAATAAAGAATAAAGCTCTCTTTTGGGTCCTCCCAGAGAGTGAAAATTAAGTTTTCCAGACCAAAATGCCAGAGACTGTAAAAATGCACTCTATTTAGGGATTGATATAGTGCTGCAGCTGATATCCTTTTCCTTTGGAAATGTGTTAGATCTTTAGTGATCACTGCAGGCCAGGACTTTGTCATATTTGAGAAATAAAATTATAGGATGATTTTAAAAAACTTAAAAAATTTTTCGGTCTTGATTATGTGTACCAATTCCTTTTTGACCCTGAAACCAGAACCGGTTTTCTTCACTGACATGTTTGCTCTGCTTTTTTTGATACACAACAATTTTAGCAGGTAGTGAGTTGTATGTTCCGGTTTTTGTAGGGCTGTTTCCTAGTTTTTGGTTAGTGTAGTTTTTGCAATGAACTTTTTATTTTTTCTAAAGCATAAAATTTCACATGATGCGTGGCAAACAGACTGAGAGAAAGTAGAAGGCCAAGTTTAATGTGGAGCTTTAACATTTGCCAAGAATTCTCTCATAAGTGATGGAAGAGTTTGCAGTGGTAGCCACATGTGTAGGAGTCTCCTCCCAGCATCTCCAGTCATGCTATGCTCTGGTGTAACCCTGACAGAGCACACAGAGCTGGAGGGTTGAGGGGCCACACAGGCAAATCTGGGGGCTACCTTGAACCGTAGGCTGAAAAATTTTAGAAGATGCTAAATTATGGAGGAATGGGGGAAGATGTGAACACTGAAAAGAAAAAGAGGTCCTTTCTTTCTGAGGATGCAGAAGGAAAAAATAGAAAATGAATGTAAAACAAAGAAAAGAAAGGCAGAATTTCCGTAGCTGTTTTTCAAGGAAGAAACCTAACAGTCTTAATAAGCAGTGCTGTCTCACTTCAGCTCATTTCCTTTATGGAAAAGGATTTTTTAGTGGTTTTAAGACCAGCCCAATGAGATTCAGGACATTTACCTTCCAACATAGTACTGGTCAGGAACAGAACAAGTTTTTTCTTCTCTCCTAGTAATCATGATTCTGTTTTTTAATTATTCCCATCAATACCTTGATATATTGATTTATTGCTTATCTGGCTATTCCACTTCTTGATGAAACACTCTTTTGGCCAGTTGCCATGGAAGTAAATGTTGGAGCTTTAGGATGTGGTCAGATGGACCAGATGTTATCACAGCCCATTTGTTTCTCCTCTTCTGTCAGCCTCCACCCAAGTGAAGGCAGACACCCAGCTCTCCCAGCATTCATCTGCTCTTGCACAGTATTACTTAGTTTAGTTAAGCAGCTTGCATCACCAGTTTAAGCTAAACGGCCATTTTTCACAATGACAAAGGTGAAGGGCATTCATGCTAAACGTGATGAGGTGGGCAGACAGAAAAGTTTAGAAGTGTTATCTTCCTAAATTCTTTCATCTTTAAGAGACTCTCTGATTAGTTACCTCAGGGCATTTTGGCTCTCTTCTTGAGTTGTCCCAGGGGCAAGGGGAGAAATGTAGATTTGTTTGAAACAGCTTTGAGAACAGCAGTTAAAAATATTTCTTGAACATACCATATATATATCTTCTGTTCTGCAAGCATTATTTTTCTTCTTTCTGATATCGGTGATGTGAACTATCTTCAGAGAATACCTCACGGTAAATCATGCAGTTTCTTATTAACGCTGCTCTATCAGAGCATCCAAGTCAGTGCTAAGCAATCTAGCAAGTGGAGAAAATGGTGAGTCATTATTAAATTTATGAGAAGCTGGTTCATAAATTCTATATAATCACTTTTTCTGAACTGAGTTGGGAAAATCCTTTAAAGCTGCCTCATTCTATATGGCATCCACAGTAGCTCAGTGTGATAGAGAAGATTTACGTTTCCCCAGACAACTTCCCAGAGCCCTTGCTTTTCAGCTGATAGCAGGAAAAGAGCCTGTAGCAGTGCATTTCAAATTAGAGTCAGATTTAAAGTCTTCGAAGGCACCTGAATTTAAGCAAAGATTAGGCACATAAAAGCAAAATTACAACTCAAACTCCTTCTGTAATTCCCTCACTCTGGAATTATTGAAGCACCCTGAGTACCCAGCTTATTTACTTCAAGGCTTCCCATGTCTCTGCACGCGGTCCTGATCTGAATAGCACAATGCCCAATAAGGATCCAAAGCTGGGATGTTTTTCCTCCCGGCTTCCTCATGGGGTCTGCTTCAGCAGCTTTCCTAGATACCTAATGCCTTAGGAAAGTCAAAGATTCATAGGTGGAAAATAAAAGAAAAGAAGCAAGATCAAAGCCTGATATTGAGTGCTGGTCCAGGGCAGCGAGATCCTGGGGTGTCAGGGGACGTCTCCAATGGCTCTTTCATGCCAGATCAGCTCCTCAAGCCTCTCTCTTGAGCTGCAGGTTCCAAGCAGATGCATGTGCCCATCTCCCAAGATGGGCAATATTTTGAATCGCACTTTAACCTCAAAGTGCCCTGCTGGGTGCTCCTTGCTGGCCACCTCTTTGAGCTCTCAAACATGGCCCTGCTGCGATTCCTGGCAGCAGCATCTGCCTTAAAAGAAGGACAGGGCTCCGAGGTCAGTTTCAGTGCCCAAAATAGGGAGTGTCAGAGCTTAGCTCCAGCTCCAGCTCTCAGCAGTCTAGTCCTTGGAGTGGGAGAGGAGTCTGGAGCTCATAAAGCCTTGCATCTGTGACTGAGTTTCTCCTGAGCTGAAATCAAAGTCTGGAAAGCCAGAAACTGTACTAGTGTGCCAAGAGCTGTCTAAAGCAATTTTATGTCATATTTTTAAAAGATTAGAATGTACTTTTTATCTTTGAATTGCCAAACAAGAGTTACATTTTTTACTTCCCATAGCTTTCAAATATTTCCCAGCTCCAGAACAGAATTTGTTACCTTGTTAATTTTGAAGGGTTTGAGTTTTTTGATGACCATCCCTCACGTTGCTTCTTAACCCCTTAGCTAATCAGCAGAGCTACCAGGGTATGCTCCTGAAGTATACTGTACTTGCATTTTACATCAGTGACTGCTGGAGTAGAATCGAAAAGCCTAATTGGGATTAAATATTCATGTAAAATACAGAACAGTGTCAACAGCAGAAGCCAAACTGGCATGTTCTGCTTGCCTGCCTTTGCAATAGCTGTATGTCTCTCTTTTACTCCATTCTCATTCTTGACTTTACTGACTCCTGCTTGTCACTGAGCTTATATATAGGGTTTTTCCTTCCTCTTTGATTTAAAACAGTAGTTGTAAGAGCTCAGCAGCTGCCAGGGTTATTCTTTTATTTAAGCCATCAGACTCACTTTGTTATATTAATAAATGAGAGACCATTTTCTTCAAAATGCTTTTCTCAGACTTCTGCCAGCTTAGAGACAATTTCTCCCAAAATTTACAGGGCTTGTGAAGATGAACAAAGTTTACAATGGCTCAATTCTCTGTAAGCATAGCAGATAGCTGCCTGAAACATGATCACCACCTAAACTATACATTTAATGTGATGCAATGTTTATTATAATGTGCTTCTTATGTATTTTATGATCCTCTGCTACAGTGTTAATAAAGATAGTCTAACTCATTGTTGTCTTCCAACAGAAAAAGTTATTACCCAAGGTTTTTCTTGTTTTCATTGACATAACCAAGTAATGAATAGGAAGGTTACTACTGCAGAGATTTTAAAAATAACAGACAGAAAGCAATTTAAGAATAAATTATCAAAAACTAGCCCTGATTTTTTTGGGTTTGTTTTTATTCTCTTGATTAATGGAGGGAAATTGTATATTTCTTCTTGTTCAACTTTCTTTTTGTTTGGATTTCCTTTGGAGTATACTGATTTTACTTGTCAGCATTTTTTTCCTTTCCTTTGCAGAAACTCTAAAGAGTGCACATCCTTCAAAACAACTGGCATGACACAAGACCAGCAGTGTGCATGTATAGATTATTAGGACCTTAAATAACTCTCATGTTGTGTTCAGTGATCTGAATTTTTATGCTGCAAATGTAAATGCCATGTTCAATTTGCTTTCTGCTGCTGTAATGCAAGTATGAATATTGCCATTTTCTGTAAACCCAAAAAGATCTGGCCAGGCAACACCACTTCTGGACCTGACAGTGATGGCAGTGTTTCAGCTTCCATTAAACAAATGGGAAAAGACTTAAAAAATTAAACACAAAGTTGAATATTTCATAGCGACTTTGCTAAATGGGACTGGTCTTTCTCTTCCAGAGAACTCTACAGAAAGTGACTTCTTGGGGCAGGCAGAGACGTGCCATGTCCAAGGTGTCCATCTGCAGGTGTGCAGGGACTCCTGTACCACAGGACTTCTCAGGCAAAGCTTTTCTCAGCTGGCCAAGTTGGGGGAGTGTGACCTTGAAGATCTGAAACACAGACCTCGGAAAAGGTTGCCATCATAAGAAGACTGGAGAAGCGCTGCTGCTCCTCAGCACCTGGCTTTCTTTTCATGCAAGGAGATCTTCAGATATCTTCCCCTTTCCTCCCTAGACCTTGGAGAAGCTGAGACGGATCTTACCTGTGCATGGGTTTAGATATGAACTGAGAAAATTAACAACTGACTGAGGTTTTTTGTTCCATTTCCATGACAAAAAAAGATTCCCAGAGTTTTCAGGTGCCACTTCTTAATTCCTTCCCAGCATTGGGTGACATCGACTGTTTGATACCCATAGCTCTGATGTAATGAGATCTTGTGGTAATTTGGGGGTATCTAGAAGGTGGAGGGGTGGCTGTGGAATGCAGGTATGTGGAGGCTGGCAGCATAGGATGTGCTCTGCCTGTCACCGGGGAAGACAAATAATTGCAGTGAGGAGCATCGGAGCTGCAGATGCACCTGTACAGTCAGTCCACCAAACGGAGGCTGTGTCAATTGTTGATGAGACCTGGAAACAAAGATGTTGCTTGTTCAAGAAAGCTGAGGGGAGCTCAGTGAAGAATAAGGTGATGCTATTCAGCCCATCATCCCTCCTGGGCTACTCCACAGTGTGGAGGACACTGGATGAACTGAGGCATCTCTGCTTTGTAAAGCTAAATAGCCCTAGTAAAGCAGTGGCTGTGCCTTGTATCCCATTTTAGTTTCCTTGTGAACTGTAAAAATTCCATTACAAAATAAATAGCCCAGCAAGATCTTCCGGAAAGTTAAGTGTTAACAGTCTTTTGAGGATGTTCACATTTTCTCATGCGTGTGCAAGCTTGTACTGGAATTGGTTTCCTAAAAAAGGGCTTATTGCTAAAATATTCTACATAATATTTGATAAAATTCTATAAAGTGCAGCTCATAAAATGCTGCAGAATGGCTTGTGTGGTACAAAGCTGTGAAGTGCATCTCATAAAATACTCTGAAACCTGTATCTTGAAGCAGAGGATAGATCAAATGCTGCAGCAAATTAATTTGGATGACACCTGGCTTTCACAGTGATGGGTTTATTATTGGAATCTGCTGTGCTGGTAGAGATGTGAGGAGGGAGGGGAGAAGGCAAGGGGAAGGGAGCATGGATTGATATCTTGTGTGATGAGCCAGCCACAGCCAGGGAATATTTATATACACAGAGGAATAGAGCTAGAAACAATACTTCTCCATCCCTCCCAGCATAATCGCCATTCTGAGCAAGGAGCAAAGCCACAGAAATCTCTCTCAACTGGGCAAAGATATCAGCTCCCTGGAATGTGGTAAACACTGTGTCTGCCTTCCAGTCTCTTAATAATACATATATGCTTGTTTCTCTTGTTCTGTGTAAGATGCCACAAGAAAGAAAATGGTTCCAGCTCCTTCCTTGGGGCTGTCAGGACAGATGTATCCCAACTGCCATGTTCATGGAGAATTTTTGTTGGAGAGAAGATTTTGTTGTTTGGGTAAATTCTGCACCTCACAGCACCATAGATCCTGGTATCTGCTGTACTTCTATGGCCCTCACTGCTGCCCACAGTAATACTCAGTTCAGTGTTGACATCCCAGCTCAGGATCCTACCTATAGGATTACTCTTAGAAGGAATGTACATTCACAGAGGTCTGATTTTTGGTCTTGGAAGTGTTACCAAATCCTTAGACTAACTTCTGTATTGCTAATGGTTCAGATATGATTCCCTACCCTTGTCCATTGCCTTGATAGAAATTTTAGGTCAACCCTTGTTTCAGTGTGACAAGTAACCTTTGCTAAAAAAAACCCAAACAAAACAAAAACTCAAGGAAAAAACCTCCACGTTTCTCTCCCCTTTTACCACACATATCCTTGTTTGCCTTTCTCTGTCCTCTGTATCATATGAGTTGTACTCAAAACCATTGACCAAGACCCTGTCACCTTCAGGAATCCTGCCACTTCACCATTTTCCTTCAAATCCTTTGCCTTTTACATAAGAATGTTCTTGTGTTCCTGGATCTGCACTGGGAAGCACTGTAATGAGCACTATAACTTCCTCACATGCATCACCAAAGGCTTTTTACCTGAAAAGCCTCTGCTTGCTTCCAGATCCAAGATCCCAGCATAGCCAGCTACCTGGACCTAAACCCACTCCCATGCTACACACCTTACAAAGGAAATAACAATTAAGGGTATTTTTAACCTGCTTCCAACATAATCAGGAAACTTACAACAAAAATGAGGGCCAGTACCTTGTGACAGCTGGGTGCTGTGCTCACAACCTGTGACCAGAACATGACTAGACTGAGTCATTAGCTAAGATGTCAACAACACATCAACACATACAATTTTGGTAGAAATCCAGATCCTTTGGGTAGGGCCTTCTCCATATGGTGGCTCTCCTCTCCCTTAGCTCCCTCCTCTCTGTGTTGTACTAATTTGGTGCTGGTTTGTGTTTTCCTTGTGTCTTTTTTTCACTGTATCCTCTCCTACCCTATTTTAAACCATGATTTGCAAAGAATGCATGTGCCATCTGAATGAAATCAGTGAAGCACTGGTTGCATCTTCTAATTGCAGGCTTTGGACCACAGTCTTCCTTGACTTTTGTGACTCATTTATTTCTCTGTGCTGCATTTCTGTGACTTTCCTATTCCTCTGTATATGTATAAAAAGTAAATATAATTATGGACATAAAAAGAGAGAAAAGTGCACATATATACGTGTGGACTGATTAATTTGTAAAATACGCACTATAAACCCATGTTTTTCTGGAGAGAGATGCTCCCCCTTCCTCCAGGGAAGAGGGGATAGAAAAACAGAGCCTTTTAAAGCACTTGGCCATTCTTCCACCTCTGTCACAAACCATGCATGAGATGTCAAGCTGTCACAGCTTTGTGACACTGGCTCACACCTAAAACATGTTCAAAATATCAAGCATTTGAGAAATCTTGTTGAAGTTGGGGAGACTAATTATGTACCTGAAATTGTCTACGATTCCTTGGGGCATACTAGCCTGAAGGTGCATTTGCACTGTGGCTGTTGTTTTAAACAAGTTGTAAAAGTACCCAAAGCCTGTCTGCAGCAGTGTTTGCTCCTTTTTAAGCGCTAACACTATTTCCACATTGATGAAACAGCTCTAAAACTTCCCACTGCAGAGAATAGAGGTGACATTGGGCTTCCTCATCCATCTTCCCTATCACACATTGCAGGGAAACAAACTTTGCCTGGGGCTCCTATTTTTGCATCTGTTTGTGACTGTAGTCCTCCCACTGCAACTGAAAAAAACCCCAAACATGCCAGAACCCAATTTTAGTTACTTTGTACACTCCAGATTAATCCAAATATTTCTCCTTTCAATTTTCTAATCAATTTAGCTTTCTTATCCTCAAACCTGTGTAGATGGCCTCATTTTACAGTGCTTGATGCTTTATAGAAACTTCCCTCAAAATATACAAAAATATAAAAGAATAAGATACAATGTGTGGGAGGACAGGCCACCTGTAAAAGACCCAAATTCAATAAAAGTACCCATTGACATGTAATGAATGCATGCAGTTCTAGAAGCTTTGCAATTATTTCTTCCAAAACTAGAAGAAGTTATGCAAGCTTAAAATGGCATACAATCAGTTTATGCAAAATATTCATTAAGTTGTCCAGGGAAATCTCACCATTTTCCACACAAATATAAGTAAAAACTATCAATTATACATTAATATAAACCCCATGCTGGAGTCAACTCATGATTTAAAATATGGTGCTTCATCATAATGATCATAAAGAAAAATGGGCAAATCAGGTATTTAATAGACTGGCAATTGTATTTTAATTTGGCTGTGCATTTATAAAATGACATTAAATGGTCTCCACTGAATAATTAATTTTAAAATGTGTATTTATATGTATATTACTTAGAAATAACTGAAGATTTTAGAAAACTGTTACCATGGGAGGAAGTGCTACTGTGAGTTTCTTCTACTTTTCATTCCAAATCCTTCCAGTATTGAAGCAACTGGAGCCTTATATACTTCACCTGTGATACAAAATTGCCTACCACCTTGCCCAAAGAAACTATCTATTCTACACTACCACTGGGGGTTCAGGCAAGAGGGCTCTGAAGTGAGCGCTGGGGTGCTGGAGGAGGATGGGCTCAGCATCTGGCACTGGAGGCAGATCCCTGCTCCGCTCAGTACTGAGATTCAGCAGCACTGGTCCAGGAGACCAGTTTTGTGGCTGTCCTCAGCTGCGCCACAAGTTGAGTAGCCCTGCTGATACCTGTGGAACCTCTCACAGGTCAGAGTGTGGCTGATCTGAGGAACACAGACTCAAGGAGGATCTGATCAGGTATGACATCAATCTAGACAAAGCGTGAGAACGTTCCTGTACTTCTGCCGAGTGAGCAAAAGTGCACAACACAGTGTTCAGTCTGGCATCCTTTGCATTTCAAGGCACCATCTTAGACATGTGGCCTTCCTCACCTACCCACCTGCTGCATGATGAGATGCGAGATTTGTAGGATGCTGACCTGGAATACTAGCCTACTGAGATCACCCACCACTCTGAAATAAAGTACCAGCTTTGATTTACCACCAGATTTTAACATTACACAGCATTCTAATTTATCTGCTTCCTGGAGGCATTCTGCAAGCTACTGTGGGTAGTGGCATTACCTCCACTTGGCAGCAGTTCATAAAATAGCAATGCCATGCGTGCATCCTTCCACAAGTTCCTTCCTGTCATGAATCCCATATAGCATGAGATGGTACATGTGGATGCAAACTACTCCCCTGTTTCTCATCCTAGTCCTGGGCAGAGAAAATCCGGCCAGAGCTGTAGTTCACTCTCTAGTGCTGCATTGAGGCATAATTAAAGTAGCAGCAGAGAATGGGGCTGCCCCTTCTCAGACCTCTGGTCAGGTTATACCCATGCAGTTCTCCAAATAATGACTTAAACTGTGCAAAAA